GTAATCGAGACAATTTGGTACTGGCACAAGAATAGACCCATAGACCAATGGGACTGACTAGAGAGCCCTGATATAAACCCGAGCATATATGGTCAATATACAATAAAGGAGCCATGGACATATAATGGGGAAATGACAGCCTCTTCAACAACTGTTGTTGGCAAAATTGGATGACTTACATGTAACAGAATGAAACTGGATTACTGTCTAAACACATACACAAAAGGAAACTTGAAAGGAATTGCAGACCTGAGTGTAAGTCATGAAACCATGAAACTCAGAAAAAAGCATAGGTGAAAATCTCTCGAATATAAACTTTTCCTGAATGCATCTTCTTGGGCAAGGGAAACAAAAACAAAAATGATCTCATGGGACTACATCAAGCTAAAAAGCTTCTGTATAGCAAAGGACACCATTAGCAAAACAAAAAGCCATCCTACAGTATGGGAGAATATATTTGTAAACGACATATCTGACAAAGGGTTAACATCCAAAATATATAAAGAACTTACACACCTCAACACCCAAAAAAGCAAATAACCTGATTAAAAAATAGGCAGAGGATATGAGAAGACACTTCTCCAAAGAAGAAATTCAGATGGCCAATAGGCACATGAAAAGATGCTCAACATCGCTACTTATCAGGAAAATGCAAATTAAAACCACAATGAGATACCACCTCACAGCAGTTATGATGGCCAGCATCAAAAAGACTAAGAACAACAAATGCTGGCAAGGATGTGGAGAAAGGGGAACCCTCCTACACTGCTGGTGAGAATGTAAACTAGTTCAACCATTGTGGAAAGCAGTATGGAGGTTCCTCAAAAAACTCAAAATAGAAATACCATTTGACCCAGGAACTCTACTCCTAGGAATTTATCCAAAGAATACAAGTTCTCAGATCCAAAAAGATATATGCACCCCTATGTTTATTCCAGCACTATTTACAACAGCCAAGATATGGAAGCAACGTAACTCTCCATCAGCAAATGAATGAATAAAAAGATGTGGTACATATACACAATGGAATACTATTCAGCCATAAGAAAGAAACAAACCCTCGATTTGCAATAACATGGATGGAACTAGAGGGTATTATGCTCAGTGGAATAAGCCAGGTGGAGAAAGACAAGTACCAAATGATTTCCCTCATTTGTGGAGTATAACAACGAAGCAAAACCTGAAGGAACAAAACAGCAGCAGACTCACAGACTCCAAGAAGGGACTAGTGGTTACCAATGGGGAAGAGTGGGGGAAGGTGGGTGGGGAGGGAGGGAGGAGGGGATTGAGTAGTATTATGATTATTACACATGGTTTTGGGGGGCATCATGGGGAAGACAGTGTAGCATACAGAAGACAAGTAGTGCTTTTGTGGTATCTTAATACACTGATGGACAGTGACTGCAATGGGATATGGTGTGGGAGACTCGATAATATAGGTGAATGTAGTAACTACATTGTTTTTCATGTGAAATCTTCATAAGAGTATATATCAACAGTACCTTAATAAAAAAATTGCATTAAAAAAGTGCTTAAACACACACACACGCACACACACACACAAAGACACAGAGTGGTAGAATGGATAAGAAAGAAGACCCATCTATATGCTGCCTGTAAGAGACTCACTTCAGACTCAGACATATACAGACTAAAAGTGAAGAGGTAGAAAGATAGTTTATGCAAATAATAGGGAGAAAAAAACAGGAGTAGCAGTATTTCTATCAGACAAAATAGATTTCAAAACAAAGTAACAAGAGACAAAGAAGGACATTACATAATGATAAAGGGGTCAGCCCAACAATAGGATATAACCATTAGAAATATCAATGCACCCAATATAGGAGCACCCAAACAAGTACAAAAATAGTGACAGAATTAAAGGAGGAAACAGATTACAATAACTTCACTTTAGGAGACTTTAACACACCACTCATTTCAATAGACAGATCAGACAAAAAATAAATAAGGAAACAGAGGCACTGAACAACAACTGGATAAGATGGGCTTAACAGATAACTACAGAACATTCCACTCAAAAGCAGCAAGATACACATTTTTCTCAAGTGTACACGGAATGTTCTCCAGAATAGATCACATACAAGGCCACAAGAAGAGCCTTAATAAAGTCAACAAGATTGAAATGTTATCAAGCAGCTTCTCAGACCATAATGGCACAAAACTAGAAATGTTACCCAAAGGAAAAATAAAAGCCTACAAACACATGGAGGCTAAACAACATGCTTCTGAATAATCAATGGATCAATGAACAAATTAAAACAGAACTCAAGCATTATATAGAGACAAATGAAAACAAAATTCAACAGTCCAAAATTTGCAGGACACAGCAAAAGCTGTACTTGGAGGGCCGAACATAGCAATATAGGCCTACCTTAAGAAACAAGAACAATCCCAAATAAACAGTCTAAACTCACAACTAAAGAAACAAGAAAAAATAAATGAAACCCAAAGTTAGTAGAAGAAAGGACATAATAAAGATCAGAACAGAAATAAACAAAATGGAGAAGAATAAAACAATACAGTCAATGAAACCAGGAGCTGTTTCTTTGAGAAAATAAACAAAATAGACAAACCCCTAGCCAGACTTATTAAGAAACAAGAGAGAATACACAAATAAACAAAATCAGAAGTGAATAAGGAATACTCACAAAAGATACCACAGAAATACAAATAATTAGAGAATACTATGAAAAATTATATGCCAATAAATTGGACAACCTTGAGTGGACAAATTCCTAGAAAAAAACAACCTTCCAAGACTGACCCAGGAAGAAACAGAAAATCTGAACAGACCACTCACCAGCAATGAAATCAAACTGGAAATCAAAAAACTCCTAAGAACCAATAGTCCATGTCCAGATGGTTCACATCTGAATTCTACCAAACATTTAAAGAAGAGCTAATACCCATCCTTTTCAAAGTATTCCAAAAAGTAAGAGGGAATACTTCCAAAGTCATTTAATGAGTCCAGCATCGCTTTAATATTAAAATCAGGCAAGACACTACAGAAAAAGTAAATTATAGACCAATATCCCTGATGAACATAGATGCAGAAATCCTCAACAAAATATTAGCAAACCGAATTCAAAAAATACATCTAAGGGATCATCCATCACAACCAAGTGGGATTTACTCCAGTGATGTAAGGATGGTATAATATTCATAAATCAATCAATATCATACACCAACTGTTCATTTCAGTAGATGCTGAAAAAGCATTTGATAAAATTCAACATCCAATCATGACAAAATTCTCAAAAAAATGGATGGATATAGAGGGTACGTACCTCAACATAACAAAGGCCATGTATGACAAACCCACAGCAAACATCATACTTAATGGCAAAAAGCTGAAGGCATTTCCTCTAAGATCAGGAACAAGTCAAGGATCAAAACCACTATGAGGTATCACCTCACACCAGTTAGAATGGCCACCATCCAAAAGACAAGAAATAAAAAGTGTTGGCAAGGATGCAGATAAATGGAAACTCTCCTACACTGTTGGTAGAAATGTAAATTGGCACAACCGCTCTGGAAAGCAGTATGGGGATTCCTCAAAAAACTAAAAATAGAAATACCATTCAACCCAGTAATTCCACTTCTACGAATTTACCTGAAGAAAACAAAATCATTATTCAAAAAGATACATGCACCATATGCTTATCACTGCATTATCACTTGCAATAGTCAAGACACGGAGGCAATGTAAGTGTCCATCAATACATGACTGGATAAAAATGTGGTATATATACACAATGGAGTATTAGCCATAAAAAGAAGAGTTCCTGCCATTTGCAACAATACGGATGGACCTAGAGGGTATTATGATCAGTGAAATAAGCCAGGTGGAGAAGGACAAATACCACATGATTTCACTTATTTGTGGAATATAAAAACAAAGCAAAACAGAATGAACAATACAGCAGTAGACTTACAGATACTGAAAAGTGACTAGTGGTCACCACGGGGGAGGGGGAGGGGTGTGTAGTTGGGGAAGGCAAGGGAGATAAAGGAGCAAAAAATAAAAAGGAAGACTATGTGGACCTTTTTTTTAAGACAGAAGAGAAATCAGTAGGTTGAAATGTCAATGGGAAGGATCCAGCTGAAAAAGAGATTGAACATACAGGACAGAACAGGTTGTCCTCTGATCTCCAAAGGAAACTGAAAACAGTAAGTCAACTCTAAGATTATCTTTAATGTCTGCATTAGACATAAATAAAAATCTTGCCACTTACTTTGTTCCATTTTTCAAAGCTGTAACGCTCAGCTCGAACACATAAATGCTTTACCGACTAAATGACTTTTCAGATAAATCTGCTCTCCCAACTCAAGGGAGGTGTGATCTAAGATAATGACTTCAGAGCCAAATACATTTGGACTCAAAATACCGCCTTTGCCACTTACTACCTGTGTAACTGGAGCGAATAACATTAACTGTTCTTTCTCTGTAAAATGGGCATAACAGAGTACCCATGACCCAGGGCTTCTGTGAAGATTAAATGAGAAATGTATGTGACATATGAAACCTATTGCTAACAGTAGTGTACAATTAATAGCTGTTATTAAATACCAGAACCAGTGTAGAAGAAAAACCCTTCAATTTCTCTAGGAACGATGTATCCCCATCTTTACTGAACCGGATATTTAATTTTTAGTATACGTAACCTACGCTCGCCAGATACAAGCAATTTTGCAGTTGAATGCGTCGTTAACCTCACAGGAAGCAAAGTTTTTTCAAGGCAACTTAGAAAATCAAAACAGTTAACGTAAGAGAGAGCTTGAGGTAGCCACGGATAAGCCGTTTCTGCCTGGCTCTCTGGGGCAGGCGCGGTTCGGGGTCTCAAATACTTCTGGGCCGCTCCCACACCGACGCCTCGCCCAACTTTGAGGGGCCGGCGCACCCAAGGGCGGCATCGCTAAATTTTCATCTTAGGTTGCGGCCCCTCGGCCTCGAGGCTACCCGCCTCAGAACGCTTTACCCTTTCCTAAGAAGTTGATCACCGCCAGAGTCCCGGCCGCCGCCGCGATGCCTGGCCCAGCAGAAGGAGCCGCGGTCCCTACAGGAGAGGGAGCAGAGGAAGGCAAGAAAGGGGCATTCTCTGCGCTCCGGTTCGGTCGTTTTCTACTCTTCTTGGAAGACATGATCACAAGGCAGCCTCCGCGAAGCAGCAGCGAAGCCGGCTCAACGTGCGCGACTCACTGGGAGAAAAACTTCCGGGGCAGAGTTAGCGAGGCCCCGCCCTGCGCCGCAGTTCTCCGAGTAGAGAGCTGTGGGAGAGGGCGAACGAGCGCCTTTAAACGCCCCGTCTTTGAGGAAGTGGATGAAGGCCTGATTTCTGCAAAGGAAGACGTTGTAAGTGGCAGAACCATCGTTTAGATTATATAGATCCTGAAAGACTTTCCGTGTCTCCGCTCGCCTTCCTCATGCCTGAACTAACGTCTGTTGAATTAACCGGGGAGGTGGGGGAGTGGTGGCAAAGTTCCTCCCGGATTTCCTGGAGCCAGGCAAGTTCCTGGAAGTAGCTAGGAGACCGGACTTTGCGGTATGCTCGGTATAGCGCGGCAAAATGGCATCACCAGCTCATCTCTGAGAAGGGTTGGGTGCCACGCTTACAAAATTTACGGTAGTAACCTCCGCCCCAAGGCGCTGAGGGAATGCCTGGGGACCCAGCGGGTGGGGTGCCAACCGGCGCGGACATGCCGCCGCATCCGAGCGGGGGCTACTGGCGCTCCATGCTGGCCCGAGCCGGCCGCGCGAAGCTCTCGGCGGGGCGCTGCGGGGCCTCGGGCGGCCCGGGCTGCGCGCGGGAACCCCCCGCTGGAGCGGAGGAGCTGCGGGGCGAGTTAGACCGATTCGGAGGCGTCTCGGTGCGCCTGGCGCGGCTCGCTGCGGTAGACCGCCTGGACGCCGCCACCTTCCAGAGGGGCTTGCAGGGCAAGTGTGACGCGACGAAGGGCCTCCCGGCTCCTGCGCCGTTCCTATGAAGTAACCGCGGCCCCCTCCCGCGAGTCACGCTGTACTCTAGTCAAGTCCCGAGCCCAGAGGGAAGGGGAAAGGACGCCCGTTTCCCCCTTTTCGCTGGGAGGTGTCTAAGGCGGTTGGGTGAAAGGCGGACTATCCCAGACTTTTGGGATCGCCAGCCCTGGTTTCTGGTCCACTTTCTAGTTCGTGACCTTTGCAACTTCCACATCCCTGAAGCCGGTTAAGCGCGTCGGATTGCTGAGGGTTAAGATAGATAATACGTATGAAGTACTTACCACGGTTTCTGCCATGTTTAACGCACAATGTTTAATGTTATTACATTATTGTCTACTACCATTTACTGAGCCTTAGTTGTGCCGAGGACTTTGCCCAAGACAAAACTCCCTCACATTCTAACACAGGTAGTGGGCAACGCATGGACCAGAAAGGTTCCAAGTGGTCATCTTTGTACACAAATCTGGTCAGGAGCTGGCGCGTCAAGAACTGGAGTTTGCTTCTACTTACAGAGCAACAAGTCGTTATTAACCAGGGAGGGTGGTCGGTGGTTTCAGTCTTCAAAAAGAAAATTCTCCACTCTCTTTGAACCTTGAGTACAATGATAAGAAAGTGAGCTTGGATTGAACAGAAGGTATAGCAAGGAACTGAGCCATGGAAAGATCCTCCCACTTTAACAGTAAATCTCAAATCATGTTTATCCTATTGAGTAATATGGCAAATGAGCATCTATGTAAATATAATTGAGCTAGTTATTTCATTCTTTAATCATCCTCATTCCCGAACTACTTACATCTTCACCTCATTTTCTCTCCTACTTGTAATTGCTGACTCCAACACGATCACGAGTAGGAGAATCAAATCAAGGTCCACCTCCTATATATGTACGTATGTGTGTGTAGAGACAAGTATTTATGCACACACTTGTCACTTGTCAGTGATCAAAGCACTACATCAGTCATCAAGGCAAAGCAGAAAGGAGATTGGGTTTGGAGTCACATATCCAGGTTTTAAGCCCCAGGTTCTGCCACATGCTTAGGCAGGCATTACACAAACCACCACTGAAAATATTTGCCTCTTAGATTGCTTATATGAGTAATGACAGCCCTATTTACTTCATGGGATAGATGTGGTAATCGATGTATTATACACAACTAATTTATAAATTCTGAAATACCATATTTTTAAGTAAGACATTCATTTTACTCGATTTTTAATAAAACATTCTCTTCCACGTATTAAGTGCTAGACACTGTTTTAAGAACTTTACAAATATTAATTCATTTAATCCTAACAATTCTGTAAGGTAGATAGTATTATCTCCATTTTAAAGGTGATGGTACTGAGGCATGGAAAGATTAACTTCCCCTGGCTCCACCTTTGCTGCCTCGAGCTACTGCTAGTTCTGTTATGTAGTCAAACAAAACTGAATGGTATTGCTTATAAAGAAAAACAATTTGAGAACACTTGACAGAAATCTAAGTCTTTTCAAATAAATTGGACTTACTATGTATAATGTATTAGCAGTAATTGCTATGCATATTTACACATGAAATCTTTTAGTGTTCCTGTTGTTAACGATAACTATAGTTAGCTGGATAAACAGGTACCATGGTTAGCCTCACATATGGTACATCTGCATCAGTGGGGAAATAACCCTGGTTCTGGTCTTTGCCACTGGCTAGCTGTGTGCCTTTAGGCAAGCCAGTCATTTAATGAATATGAATTCAGCCCCAATGTTAACCTGGAGGATTGCAAATGCATAAAACATTAATTAGGGTTAGAAAAATAGGTAACAATATCATTGGGCAATGTGTAATGAGTTCTGGTCAATTGTACACATAATAGTACTTAAGTTCACATATGGAGAGCTCATGAGCAGTGATTTGGAAAGATACTTGTCAGAGAGGTGGTGTATGAGCAGAATTTGAGGGATGTATTTGAGCTGAGGGAATGAGGAAAGGAGGAAAACATTGAAAGTTTATGAGAAAAAAAGAGGAATGAATTAAAAGTGATTATAAGGCTTCTAGCATTAGTGCCAGAAATGAGCCTATAAATGAAACTAGTAAGGGGTAGATGGTGTATGAATCAATTTTGAACAGTGTGAGGTTTGAGGTGGAACCTTCAGAAATATCTGAAAGCAGGTGGACAGCAGAAAATTTCAGCGTTCAGCACAGTTACAGCTCAGCAAGCATCCTTGTATAGATCTTAACTGAATCATTAAGTGTGGATGGATTCTGCAAGTGAGAAGAGTGTAAAGATAATAACAGTAAGCAAATGACTATACTTTTGGAACTTAAACTTTTCATTTAATTAGAATGACTGGGGAAAAGGACATGGGAATGTTCTGGGGTCATAAAAATGTTCTACAACCTTGACTGAAGTGTGAGTTACACAGGAGTACACATATGTCAAAACTCATCAAATGTACACTTAAGATTTGTCCATTTCACTATGATTCTATGTCAATTTTTGAAAGATTTAATTAGAGAAAAAGCAAGGTGAGAGGTGCCTGACCCCATAGCCCCAAATCAAGTTTTTATTAAAGGCTCCCATGTGTCTGTCAATGTGTCAGGCACATGGCTTTCAAAGAGGTAGAGAACATAAACATGGTCCTTAATAGGGAGGCACTTAACTGCAGAGAAGGGAAGGGAATTTAATCATTAAATAATTAAACCTTCCCAACACACACAAACACACACACTACAGGGCTATTCTAAAAGTTAAGTAAGATGATGGATGGAGAAAATGATCTGAAAAGTTCTCTAAGTCTGTGAAGTTATTAATTTCTGCATCCATGAATTAGGAGTAATGCCTGCCTTTCATGGTTCTGAGAACTTAATGAGATAATATATGTAAAGTGTCTGGAACTTAGTAGAGGCAAATAAATGTTAGTATCTTTTTCCCCTGGCTCAATCTTAAGTAATAAAGTAAAAGAATTTGAAGAGGTCAAAGAGAAAAATCTCTTTATGTTCATCCTGGAATTATTTATAACAGAAAAAGTAGAAACAATCTAAATGTCCAAGAGTAGGTGGTTGGTTACGTAGTTTATGGTATACATATATGAGGCAAACTATGCAGTCATTAAAAATTCATGTTCATTAAAACTGTTAATGATATAGCAAAATGTTTACAATATTATATGTACTAAAAAAAATGCTGTAAATTATATATTGTATGTCACTTCCAAATTATATTCATGGGCCATGTCAACATTTAAAACATTTAAATGTGAAGTTTGATTTCTTCATTATACTTTATTTTCTAAATTTTCTAGAACTAGCATACATTATTTAAAAACAAGTTTATTTTTAACCACCTTGAGATTTATAAACCAAAAAAAAATTATAACAGACTCTTAAGAGTAAATAGAAACCAATTAGTCCTTTATAAAGATTAAAACCAAGGATGTTAAGAGAAACAGCATTAAAATGATGTATTTTGTTTAAATCGGTATGTTTTTCATTCTACAACTATTGTGCACTTATGTGCCAAGCATTGTGTCAGGTAAGATGAACATACTGTCTCTATTCTCAAGGAATTCAGTCTGGTTGAAAAATAATATAGACTAAGTAGTAATTACAATAAGAATGGTAGTTCCTGTGCTGTTGATGTGAGCAGGATATTTTGGGATCCCCTCTCCACCAGACTGCTAACTAGAAAGGGAAGTGGATGCTTAAAGATGGCTTCCTGGAGGAGGTGACATGCCGAGGTGAGTTTTTATTTCACTCCTCTCACTGGAAAGAACTTACAGATTTTTATCTTCTTCTACATTTTAGCTGCAATACAGCAATGGCGATCAGAAGGTAGAATCGCGGTATGGCTCCACGTTCCCATTCTCCAAAGCCGATTCATTGCCCCTGCCGCTTCTCTTGGCTTCGGCTTTCATCATGCAGAATCAGATTCCTCCACCCTGACACTGTGGCTGGGAGAAGGGCCCAGCAGGTTACCAGGATATGCTACACATCAAGTAGGAGTTGCAGGTCAGTTTCAAACGGATGGTTGTCCGAATTGACTTTTTAGGGGTTCACTCAATTTCTTCTTTTAGTTCAACAATAGTTTATTCAAGTGGAATGACTCATTGGATTAAATGATAATCGTCCTTGAACTATTTGGTGGTTTAAATGGGTGAAGTTTGTCTGTTGAACCAGCAGAGGGCAGCACAAAGAACAAACAAGGTTAGTGTTTAGTTTTCCAGAGGATGTGTTTGAACATGTTTTAAACAGGTATT